GAGAAACTCGACAAAGTGAAGTCTCTTGCAAAGAGCAGAGACTGAACTGAAAGAGACTCAAAAGCCACGGCCTGCGCAGAGGCCCGTGCGACCACCCACAAGCTCGTTCAGCAGAGACAAGATCTCGAACACGAACTTGACCCACAGAGTTGCAACACTCTGATAGACTGCAGCATGACTGGAAAGGGGAGGACACACACCACAAGCTTCCCCTGACCAGTCTGCACATTTCAGCCAATGCACGAGAGCTGAAAAAGGGGGGTGGAAAAGCCCGCCTTCCACAACATCTCTGACAATCTACAAGACGGTGACCTTTCACCTGCTGTCTCCAACTGGTGAACGCGACACCGACACCCAGCAAGACAGACCCCGGAGGGCCTGTACCATCACCACCGGCTCCGAACGAGTTTTCTGTGGAACATATAACGAACATGTAACTGAGGAGGACGCCAGTTTCAAGAAACTTTCCCTCCAAAAACCCGTCAGTCACCATAGTTCTCTCGGCCCACACCATGCCACTCAACGAGGCGTGAAGGCCCCAGTAAAAATTCCTCAAACCCCAAATTATTCTGAACTGCAGAACCAGAAGACACACAGCACGAACACCGTGCAAGACTCTGCGTTTGTAGAATTAGAATTTTACTAAGTTAAAGGAATCTGAGATAGGCATGTAAGCCTCAACGGCCGACGGACTATGCACGACTCTTTTGAAACAGACAGTTTCTAGATGTTGTTTAAATCAGCACCGTTAAACATTAGTTCCATGACAGTGAAGAGTTACAGAAAACACCAACTCCGAACAGGGCATACAGTACGTTACCCTGACGACAGAGTGTAGTAAAATCACCCGAGTTTTAACTATTGTTAACCTACAGGCGTGCACTCGATCATCGCGACCCAACTAAGACGCAACGTGCAACACGCATCTTGATCGCTGGCTTATCTAAATGCAGATAAAACAAATAGCTGGAATTGACATCTCTACTTTAAAAAAAAAACAGCCTTAGAGTCCCAACTGATATCAAGAACGTCAGCATTAAAGCGTAAGTCTGTGTAACAAAGGTATCACCTCAGCAGCTTGTAATCTGTACCGATATCTATTCTGCTTTGGTTAAAAAGAAATCCAAATCGCGGTATGACTAAACCTGTTCCTGACGAAGGAAGCCCAGGACAGAGTTATATGTAGGTAGACCTGGGAGACGCTCCCCCTTTCTACAAAGTAAAGGCCTTAATGTTATTGTTAGATTGATGTAATTCACCTAAATTTTAGCTGCATCGACAAGCAGAAAGCCACTAAACGATCAAAACAAGTTACTCGCGGAAGAGCTAACACTCATGCATGAGAGAGACGTACCTATATATGCTTAGACGAGCTTTGACTCAGCAGCAAACCTATTTCCTTACTCTGTAAACAAATAGAACAAGACAAGCTTTGACTTGCAGCAAATCTATTTCCTTACTTTGTAAACAATAGAAGACGTGTAAAGTAAAGAACAGAGTTCCATGAGAAAATCAGCAAATGCCAAAACACATTTGCGTTTTACTGAATGCAACCAAAGTTCTTGAAAATCATAAAGTATAGGCGCCTCCTTTTAACCCATTAAAACGTGCATGATTCATGTAAAATATACAGACATTTCAGATACTGTTGAATTGCTCTGACACGCTCTGGTTCCCATGACAAAAACTTGTCACAGGAAGTGTCACCTTGTAATGTCACTTTTGTAAACAAACCAGCCTGGGTGGCTAAGCTAACCTAGCCTAGCGACACTCTCTGGTTCCCATGACAACAACTTGTCACAGGAAGTGTTACCTTGTAATGTCACTTTTGTAAACAAACCAGCTTGGGTGGCTAGCCTAGCATCAAGTTAACTTAGGCTAAGCTAAACTAACCCAGCACTAAGCTAACTTAGGCTAAGCTAACCTAGCTTAGCATCAAGCTATTAGGCTAAGCTGAATAACCTCCACAGTTAACAGTTAGCATCATTTACGTGAACCCTTACCACCGCTCGTGTTCCACAGTGCAAAGTATTCTAGAATACTTTCTCAACACCAGTTAGGGTTTTAAATTACTCACTTTCCATGTTTACCATTCTTATTAGCTAAAGTTTACCTTCACAGGGTTAGGAATACTCCTTGCTAACCGTTAAGGGCGAACTTCGCAGATGCCTTGTTAATTAAACTTAAGTTTAACTACATGAAAACTGCGTGACTAACTACAGAATAACGCGTGTAACCGTAGGAATTTTCATCGGCATGTTGACTAAAGCTTTGGAGGGACACACAATGTGGTTTTGAACACCCAACCGCTACAACCCACTATAGTGTTGATCAAAGCAAATCCAAAGTTTAGTCACTAATGCCACTGAACACTCTTGACCTCAGATCATTCCCGTGTTTTGATCACTTTATTTCCTTTTGCTTTAATTTTAATTTTATTTTGCCTCATTGATTATTTCATTCCTTCGACCTTGATGATAATAGCAAGCAGCTATTCCCTTAGGTCATCTATATGATTTAATTTCATTTCCTCTCTTGTCCAAGTGTGGTTCTATTCCCAATAGGGCCCAGAAAGGAAACAGAGACCCCTTATTTGTTATTTTGGCTTAGTTTCAACCAATGCACTCGTTCGTGACCCTGCAACGCAAGTAATTTCAACAATTTACTAGGGCACTACTAGAGTCCTGAGGGTCGATAATAAGCAGAATTTAAATAAGAAAGCGGTCCTTTTCCTATTATTGTTCACTTCGTCGAGCCATAGTGGACCACCAGCTAAGTCCAGAGAAATAATTTAGTCATAAGGACCACCTTATGTTATTTATTTCATCTCGGATATGTCCTTTCCAGGAAATACGCTCGGAACCACACAAGACTTAGCCCTAACATGCACAGCTAAGATAAGGACACAAGAGACACTTAGCTTTATGCTAAACACTTAACTAACTTATTAAGCAGTAGTTCTGAACTTTTAGGGCCATGCATTAGTCACTCACAACAAGTGTGCCAGAATGCCACAGAGCCCCTGCTTAAACCGACCTCAACCTGCCAAGGAACCACTGCCCCAAACCACGGCATGGCTCCAAAAAGGATGCAACAAAGCTAACCAGAAAGGGCCC